GACGTACTGAGACTCATATGGAAAGTCTGACTGACACACTGAGACTCAAACGGAAAGTCTGACTGACGTACTGAGACTCATATGGAAAGTCTGACTGACACACTGAGACTCATACAGGAAGTCTGTCTGATACTGAGACTCATACGGAAAGTCTGACTGACACACTGAGACTCAAACGGAAAGTCTGACTGACGTACTGAGACTCATATGGAAAGTCTGACTGACACACTGAGACTCATACTCTTAATAGGGCTGTTATGATCATCTCCAGGGATCCAGGTGAGCTGGATGCTCCGCTTCCTCTGGTCAGTCAGTTCCAAGTCCATGGGTGGGTCTGGTTGCTCTGGAATAGAACCCACTGTCAGAAAAGCAGAGCAGCCCAGAGGGGTCTGCATCTCATGCATGGTGGATGGCCTCCCCACTAGTGGAGATGTTGTTGTCATTAGGGCATGGTGAGCTCCGAGGAAATTAGACCTTATGAGGCATCCTTAAAGTTCCCGCTCCCACTGGGGAATGGCTGTGTGGACATGCAAACATAATCACTGAAAAATGACGCAAACTGAGAACGACCAAGCAACTTTATCAATAAGTGTGGTGGAATAAGAAAGACAGCAGAGCGGTTTGGAGTAGCTGCTGCACGACTCCTACGGCACTACAAAGCATGCGGGGGCCCCAAAGAGCCTCATGCTCCGCAAACACCCAGCTGTGAGCAAAAACGCAGCCCAACCATACTGTCGGTGCTTAACCTCCACTGTTTCCCTACACAGCGCTCGACCCATCACTGTGACGCACAACGATGGAGTATGAGATGGCAGAGAGCCCCACCTGCCCGGCCTCCCCGCCCCCTTGTGATGTCACACACACACACACACCACAGATGCCAGACCAAAGCATGCGTAAAACGAACGAAAAAAAAACAACGACAAAAACAGCCCCAGACAAAACAGAGTCAAGGGGGGGCCTGGGCAATGCAGGGTACAAGTAATCAGACTGATGAAATCTTCGGCTGGCAGTTTACCATAGACGAGAAGCGGGGGCGGGGTGTCCTCTGGTGGGGGGAGGCAGGAGGTAGGAGGCAGTGATTAGAAACACGGGAAACAAACCCGGCTGACAGGAGAAGGTCTCTACACTGGCTGATAGGAGAAGGTACAGGTCTCTACACTGGCTGACAGGAGAAGGTACAGGTCTCTACACTGGCTGATAGGAGAAGGTACAGGTCTCTACACTGGCTGACAGGAGAAGGTACAGGTCTCTACACTGGCTGACAGGAGAAGGTACAGGTCTCTACACTGGCTCACAGGAGAAGGTGCAGGTCTCTACACTGGCCCACATAGTGTGTCCAGCAAAGGAGATGCCAATACACTGTCAGGTCTAATAAGCTTTTGGTGGGCCCAGCAGGGCAGCACCGCTCCGATACCAGTCACAAACGCAGATGAGTAAAAGGAATTAGGCACCGTCACGACTGGGATGGTTTAAAGAGCTAGAGGAGGACACTCACTTTACAGGCTGATAAGGTAAACATCATAAGGTATT